CAGCCAAGGGACCAGCAGCGTCCGTGCTGCTCTTTTCCCTCCCCCGGGGATGGGAAGGGGGGTTCGCGGGCTTTGATGTGCGGGCACAGGGCTGGGGACAGGCTGTGTGCGCTCATGAGAGCCTGGCCAGGCTCCAGCTGCCTTTGAAGTGCTCCAGTGATCAGGATGAAAGGGAGGGGAGTCCTTCCCCAAACCATCTGGCTCTAATTGCAGGTAGAAATGCCTCTCTGCGTCCCAGTGGGGAGGGGGCACACCACTCTCTTCGTTAATCCCACGCCTCTCAGCTGGGCTGGCGTGAAGAGCGAGAGCTTGGGAACAAAAGGGGGTTTCAGCTGGGCAGCCAGAAATAGGCAGCCACTGAGAGACGATGGGGGTTCGGGCCCCTCGGCTCCCAGCCCCGAGCTGCGAGCCCCCCAGGCCTTCCAGGGGATGGCTGTGTTGCAGGGGAGCTTTGCCAGTTGTTCCCATCTCCGGTTTCTCGGGTGCACTGGAGCCTGCTGGCCCTTTGACTCGTGCCTTTTTGTGCTGGCGTGCGCCAAGCGCAGGGACGAGGAACGTGGGAACTCGGCGCGAGCCTGGCCATTTGGCAGGGTTCACTGTTTTTTTTTCGTCCCCCTGGCGGCCGGGCGCTGCCGCCTTGGCACGGCTCCCTGCCCGCTCCCTGCCTGCTGCCCTTGAGCCTCCTGGGCAGGGCTGGCCATGAAGCACCACGTGCCACCGCAGCAGCGGTTAGAGTCATTGGCAGCACTGGCGAGTAAGTTCTGTTGTCCTCTTCAAGTGGGCATCTTCCCTTTCCCAAGGAATGAAGGTAGTATTAAACATGAGCTCTGGTAACCCTGTGACCAGAAGCAGCCCTTGCCATTACCCATCTCCAATGACCAAGCAATGGCTGAAAGGAGAGAGCGAGAAATGGAAAGCCAGGCAAGATGGGCAATGGGACCCCAGAGGAATGCAGAGAGGGTGGTCGTGAGGAAAGGAAGCACCAGCCTGAATAGACCTGTAGGTTGTTCATGTGCGGTGGGGCCATGTCCTGGCACAGCACAGGCCACTGGGTATTAACTTGATTAATTACCATGTTAATTGCTGCCCTGATGCTGCAATAAGATGGAGCAGGGGAACCGTTTGGTGCAGGAGACCAGACTCCCCTTTGCTGGGTAGCAGTTTACTCCCTGCACAGCCACCCTCAGGAGATGTCCTCACTGCCTCTTCCTTCTGCAGGTCTCTGCCTCATCCGACCCCCGTTCGGCAGGGAACGAGGAGCTGCCGCCATCGGGCAAGGCGCGGGGGCTGAGGCGAAGCGGGCAGGCTGGCCCTCGGCGGCACAGGCGCCGTGGGGTGGCTCAGCAGGCTGCCAGGAGCCCAACGGTGCCCCAGCCTGGCAGCGCTGGCCGGGAGGAGAGCCTGCCCTTCGTGCTGGACCTGCAGAGCTTGCCAGGGCTGGCCAATGTGGACCTGAGTGCCCAGAATCCCAACATCCAGGTGGGGAGCAGGTCTGGGTGTGCTGTGGGGGGATGCGGGCAAGTGCTGCATGTGCTCCTAAGCCTCATTTGGTTCCCTGAGAGGGAAGATCTCATGAGCGTGGTCCATGTGGCTGCTGCCATCTGTTTTCTTGGTAACTACCAGATGCAAATAGATGACACAGACAAGTGCCTTGCAAGAGGAATTCACTCATTGCCTTTTTAGAGCAGGAGCAAACACTCCTACCGGAGTGACTTCTCAATTTCTGAGGGTGGTGTTGGTCCCTGTGGGTGACAATCAGCCCCTGGACTCCTACTCTGCCCGTGCTCAGTCTCTCCAGTTGAGGTGAGACACTCTTGCACTCATCACGTGGTCCTGTGGCCCGAACCATCTCTGGCCTCTCGGACTGGGAACCAGTGCATGGGCTGCTAGGTCTGTCCCAGGGCTATGCCCCAGCTCACTGCCCTGCCTCCTATCTGGCCTCCAGGTGACCATCGAAGTGGTGGATGATCCTCAGGCCGAGATGGAGATGGACTTGTTGAAGGAGACAAGCAATGACTGGTCTCTGACGTCCTCTGAGTGGCTGTCCCACAAGGACCTCTTCTGGCCCCTCTTCTGGGAATACACTGACCCTGCTGAGGAGGAGGAGGAAGAGGAGGAGGAAGAGGAGGAAGAAGAAGATGACAACCTGGATGTAGGAGACAGGGAGGAGGAAGAGGAGGAGGAGGAGGAGGAGGAGGATTACACAGCAGAGTATGAGGAGGAGGAGTCTATGCTCAGTGGAGTAGGAGGTGACTGGGACCAGCGGTGGCCCGGGCAGAAGAACTGGATCTTTAAGGAAAAATACAATTACGGTGAGTCCTCTTGAGTGTGCACAGCTGCCCTGCAGACCGGTGCTGCCCTCCACTGCCCTGCCTGACCCACAGCCCTGTCTCGCTGCAGGGGGAGCAGCCCTGCACCCAGGATCACAACACAGTGGTGCTCAGCTCCTATTTAAAAAATAAGCAAGCGTGCTGAGGAGCAAGGCGGGCACCCAGCTGGGCTGCCAGTGATTGGACATGGCAGCGTCCCAGGAGAAATTGCCCTTGCATGTAATCACACTGGATCATGAAATCTGGCAAAGGCATGCTCAGATAAGAAATATGGTGTAAATGATTGATGGCAAATGCTGCTGCCATTGACTCTGGTCCCTGCAGTAACACCAGTGCCAGAAGCTTTTGCCACAGACCTGGGCAACTCCCAGGAGAGGAGCTGCAGAGATGTAGATGGCAGATGCCAGTGGGCAGACAAGCCACGACACCACAGCAGCTCTCTCCAGCTTCTCAGCCACAAGCTCAAAACCAGTCGACCTTTGCTAACACATGATGCTTCAGCATCATTCCAGCGTATCGGGCAGTTTTGGTGAGGACAGGCATGGGCAGCAATGCCTGTCAGTCGGTCTGACCATGACCAAAGCTGTGGGAACGAGAGCCTTTGCTCAGGGGCTGCTTCCCTGAGATTGCCAGTGAGGACAGGGTTGGCCTTTGGCATCACGTGGCATCTCTCTGTGCCCCAGGCAGCACTGGCCCTGTGTCCCTGTAAAGGTCATCTCAGGGACAGGGCAGAGCTGAGGGAGGTCCCGGGTGGCTGCTGGCTCCCCTCCTGCTGAGGCTTTGCTGAGGACCACCACTCTCTGCCTCTCCCTTGCTGTGCACAGACTATGAAGACGAGGAGGAGTGGAGCCCGTGGTCCCCTTGCAGCATCACCTGTGGCAGCGGCAACCAGAAGAGGACCCGGTCCTGTGGCTACGCTTGCACAGCAACAGAGTCGAGGACCTGTGACCTGCCGCGCTGTCCTGGTGAGCTCTCAGCCGTACCAGTGCGTGGGTGTTGTCCGACCCTGTCGTGGGCTGGTCCCCTGCTGCTGTGTGCTGGGCATTGCTCATGCTTCAAGAGCTAGATATGTTTAATGTGATCTGGGCTACTGACCGTGAGGGTTTGTTTCCACGAAGAGGGGGCTTTGTGGCTCCCCAAGCAGTTAGGTGGTGCCCAAGGGTGCTAAAGCTGGTGTCCAGCTTGGTGTGCGACTCCTTGCACCGCTCACACTGGGAGCTTGAAATCCCCTCCTGAGGCATTCTGAGAGCCAGCCTCGTTCCCTGGGATTTGTGTAACCTACAGCCTTGGGCAGGTCTGTCCTGCGTATCTTGCTGCTGGCCCTTCCTTCCAGGTGCGGGACCGTGTCACCAAAGCAGTGATGGGAGAGGGGGTGGAAGATGGATGGTGTCTGGTGCCCTTATGGAGGAAAAAATCCCACCACTCCTCCTGGTGTTCAGCCTGGCTCTTTGGTTTATTTTTTTTCCCCTCTCAAGGAGCAGAGGGGGAAATGGTCTTCCCCACAGAGGAGACGCCTTTCAAAAGCGACAACACCACAGAGCCGTTCAACTCAGGTCAGCCTCTGCCTCTCCCTTGCACTGGGGGCTTCAGTGCCAGACCCCGCAGGGGGTGTAGCTGGCTGGTGGGGAGGTCTCTGCCAAGGGCTCCCGCATCTGGTGTCCAGACCCGAGTCACCCAAACAACTGCCATGTGCAGGCTTCGGCAGTCGTGCTGGCAAACCCAGTTCTTCTGACAACGTGGTCCTGCTTTACAGTGCAGTGGCTGAGGCCAACCTGCTGCCTGCCCTTTCCTGTGAGGGCATGCTGCCAGCCCGGCAGCCCCTGTAGCGATGGGTGCCCCAGGCAGAGACCCTGCAAGGGGCAGCCCTGCCCCAGCACAAAACCCCTTCCCTCTGCCACTGCCTCAGAGATGGAGCCTGG